CGGGAAGGTATGGCGGCAGGTGTGTTGTAGCGAGAGAACAGGTTATTTCCTCCACGACTTTCACGTTGTCTTGCAATAATTATGCCCCTGTTAATTTTCATAAGCCATATCCTAGCATGAGCACAAATTGGTCGTGGGATTGCAATCTGCGAAGGGATGTCTTCGTCCCGTTGTCGTGCCGGGTATTAAATTTGGCGGTGAAATCTCCCTGGAAATCTAGGAATGACAGCGGAACACGAATTTAGACAGCAGCCTAAACCTTCTGAGATCGCTTTGCCTGACAAATTAGCGAAAATCAAGAAAGCAGATGACTTCCCGGCCATAAAGTACAAGTGGAACACTAATGAGGTACGCTTGATTTTAGTTTATGACTAAATATTTTTGGAATGAGTTGTAGACTTTGAAATCGGGACAGACTTAGTTTTCTTTTCTTGTTTGCATATAGTGTCAATAGGACGTTGTCAACGATTTTATTTTCTATGAACGCTGGACTCTTGTTCACATTTTGGTCTTACCCTTTGGGAGTAGTTACGTCGTGAAAATTGTTCATCAAGTTTAATTTCTAAAATCAAATCATTTGAGGCATAATCGTTCGTATGTGACGGCCAAGTCAGAATTAAAAAGGTTTTCGACTGGCTCTTATTTGTTTATTTTTTGGAGGTTTCCTCTAGACGGTAAGACGTGATCTCTCATTAGTATTTCTTTTGGACAAGGCCCAGTGTTAGATGAAGAAAAGAAGCATTTGCGTGTCTCAAATTTTATTTTCTCTCAAACGGAAAACAAGCTGTAGAGTGTAGATTCGTGACATTATTCCTTGTTTCGTGTCCACAAAACCAAAGCTCTAACATGGGGGGTACGGCGTTGCTTGTCGGTCTTAAAATATTATCCTTACTTTTTTGTGTTTTAAATATATCTGTGGTATTTGCTATAAAAACAGCTTACGATATTTTATCTTAAGAAAACATGGACATGTTTGAATACGGACTTGTTTTTGTTTCCACTTATAGTCGTTTTGAGGTCGAATAGATCGTTTTCTGTTCAGAGCGCATATTTTTCCTTCCAGAGAAATTTGTATAGATAGGTGGATGCTGTGAAAAATTAAATTTGACGGCATAATTCCATCCCTTCTTTTCAGTGGCACTGTCATGCAAATTTGTTATCTTAGAGATGAATATTTTATTGGAAATCTTTCACTCTTTGTGGAAGGCCTTTGGCTAATATAGCTCACAGAAAATCTTTTTTGCGGAGATGTAATCATGAAACCATATCATTGTCTTGGGACTATACCTTCCACCTAAAAACTGTCACAAGTGTAGTAGATGAATTCACCAAATTGTGAAACTGAAAATGTTTGTTTATTTCTCTAATACTAGTAATATCCTTTCCACATGCATACAGATTTATTTTTCTGTCAAAAATAATATTATTATTTATTATTAATGTAAGTCATGTGTTGGTAACTTTCCATGTTATATACTACAAGACTTCATGATTTTGCCCAGCATATTTTGAGAAAAAAAAATAATTACTTGATTGATTACCCTTTCTTTAACATATCTGTTGAAAATTTTATGGAAAAGCAATATCTTTTTCTTGATACATCTTTTGTAGGTAATTTATTGTTGTTTATAATTGGCTTTGTCTGTGCAAACATTCCAGGTGAAAGGGAAACTTTAAGAACTTTAAGGAAATCTGATTCCAGCTTGTTTTCAAGCACCAATGTTATCAAGTGTGTTTTATAAACACAAAACCAAATGCTTTTTATCTCAAGAGATTCTGACAGCTATTGTATAAGTGATCATTAACAAGATTAAGGCCATATTTGCATAGCAACATACCTTTTAAGGTTTTGTTTTGCCTAATTTCTCAGTGGAAAATTTGAAATTTTAAAACCAATTTCTGTTTGCTTTGAACATGAAATTTTTCTCTTTAGCATAACAAAGATGTTTTTGAAAATTTATCATGAGTGATTTCATTTAGTAATTATTTTTTGTTTGCTCAGATCTTAGTACTTGTAAACTTAGAAGTCAGCTTTTATCATTCTGTCACTGTTTTGTACATTATTTTCTTGAAACATGTTTTCTACCTAAAATGTTTAAATTTTCTGATTGTTTTCCTTTAGAAAATTTTATTGCTTCTCTGTTCTGAAAAGATTGCCTTAGGGGAAATAATTTTTATGTCTACATGATCAAAGTATTATGAGTGGAAATCAATAATTCAGTGAGATTTAGCAGTGGAATTAAAAACAGTATATAAAAAAAGCCATGTGCAATGTAAAATGAGGCATATTATCTTTAAATTTTGGTATGGAGGAAATGTGAGTCTGGTCAGATTGCTGGTCATGTAGATCAGTGGCTTACCTTAATCTGGGAAGAGTTCACTCTGGCACTCTAGCCACTGGAATAAATGGCTAAAATTATACTGTAAATAAGTTATTTATAATGTATCAACCAATAGACAACTGGGATAAGTTATTGGTATAAGCTGCTTTTTGGCACTGGTGTTTCCATGTAGAGCCTGTTCTGGAAGAGTGAGTCATCTCTAGACACCATAATCTGTCTCAATGCAATAATTATTGAACCTTGTCTTGTTGTTACCTTTCTTTACCAGACAATATTAATTTCTATAAGCTCCTAGCCCCAGTTGTTCAAAAGCTGGATACACTATCCACCAGATAAATCGCTATTCAGAGAATAAGTACCAGCCAGGACACTAATATTGCACAAGATAGAGACTTATCTGGTGGATAGCGTTATCCACCTTTTCAACAACTGGGGCCTGAAGATGCCCAACTTACACAATGCTACTTCTATTAGTGTTCTCTTGGTAATCAGTTAAGTATGATCAGTAAAGTGAATTGGAATGATAAACAAGGAAGTACATGCAGTCTATGAATGTTGTTATAAATTAAATCTGTTGCCGATAGTAATGCGTTCCCTAAATTCCCTGAAGGGTACTTTTGCATTCGAGCGCCATGTTTAAAATTCAGTTTTGAGCTAGCAGTTGACATGAAGAGAAGAATTGAGATATAGAAACCGAAGACCCGGAGACAATTCACGCTAGTCGAATCATTCTGTTTACCATTCTGTTAATGCTCATGATGTAGAAGTGAAAAGAGGAGAGCCCGATTTTGACGCGTGAATGGTGAATAAACTTGAAACGTTAGAAAATACAATAACAACAATAACAATAACAACAAAACAACGACAATAAATGTTCTACCACTAATTCCTTTTTGCATATACTGAGTGCTATTTAAAGTAAGCCACTGAATAATCAGTTCATGGAGGAATCAGTTGCTTTGTTGTCTCTTTTAGGGAGGTAGTAGTCTCTTACAGGGTCCATAATTATTGCTTTCCCCTCTTCTTAATCCATGCCGGGATTTGTTGTCCTTAATGTTCCATGCTTGCAGCATGATAAATTTCAGATCCTTTTCACATTATTTCTTGCAAGGATGACAAAGAACCAGAAGATTTAAAATATTCAATACATGTTTTTTTTTTATTATTTTTAGGAGGTACTTTCCTTGCTAACAAGTTTGAGCAACCATGATGCGTGGGTAACAAGAGAGGTTGCTGACAGGTAGCTACAAATTATTTGCCTGTACTAATGAATTAACTTAAAAATAGATTGGTACTGAACTTTAATTACGCAGGCCATGATGGTGTAATGCCATGTTTAATTTGTATTTTTTTTTTGGTTTGAAGCATTTTGGAAAAGAAATAATTGAAGTGTAAGACACGTATTACACAAGGCTTCTGATGTCATTCGATAGTACCATTTTGTATAATTGATCTCAAATTTCAGCCAATCACATAATTCATAAAAAGTTTCAATGCTGATTTAAGGTTATTTTGTTTTGGAAACATCATGCAGAGCTCTTGAAATTTCTAATGTTGGTGTGAAACTAAAAACTATTATTTTAAGCAATAATAAATTGCTTAAAATAATAGTTAAATAATAGTTATTGATTATCATCAAGTCTCATCCTGCCAGTAGGAGGATAAGGCCTCCATGCTGTCTGACTAACACTTTCTGTCTTGTACAACTGCTTTGGCTACTTCCCAGCTGTTCCACCCAGCTTTGTTTCACTTAAGCAATTGTTTATACTTGTTAGAAATTGCACAAATTAGTTATCCCACAATGGTACTTTTTTGTTGCATAATGTGACCTAGAAATTCCTCATAATGTACTTGAAGTTTGGGCACCCTGTCAGAAGACCTGATTACAGCATACAGCATGACATTTTTGTCCGGCGACTTAATGCTGCTATCAGACAACCTTATTGGCCAAGCAGAGATTAAAATTTTGTTATGGTTAGAATTTTAATCCCTTATGAAGAGAGTGTGAAAATATTTTTTTTCTGGGGATTCTCCCATTAATGTTGACATTCTTACTTGTACAAAATAGTAACAGAATAGTTATCATCCTTGTACTGTGAACTCAGTTAATCCTAATTATTTTGGGACAAAGTATTTTTATAAAGTTTCAGATACAATAGAACCCCCAGTAACTTGAACTCTGAAGGGAAATCAAAAACAGTGCTAGCTGATGGGGGTTCGAGTTAATGGGGCCGATTGCAAAATTCAATTTGCCATGTATTATTCAGCACTTCAGTGCATAGTGCAGTGCAAATTTAACTTACACTGTATTTCATCAGAAACAGTAACATGATTAGGCATTTTTTTATGAGAAAATGTGATTTGTTTGTTGCAACAATTAAAATCAAATTGATGTATACCACTGTAGGTGACCAGTGTTAGTCTTAGTGTTTTTACCGATTATGCAAAAAGAAGAGCAAATGGGATGGCATCTGAGTAAAGTTACAAGAACCAGAATCAAATTCAGTTATCGAGGTAAATTTCAGTGAATTTTTGATCAAGGGATAGGAAATTTGGTTTGAGTTATTTAATAAGAGTTATCCGAATTCGAGTTAACAAACTAAAAAGAACTGAAAAGTGGGTTGAAATCCAAGGGAAATTGGACTTTGTTTGAGTTGGTGGAGAGTGAGAGTTATCTGAGTTCAAGTTATTGGGGTTAAGCTGTATTAATTTAGAAACATTACGCAAATAACAAAGCTCAGTATTAGAGCTGCATACTGTTTAATTATTCATATTGCTCATATTACACTGTAGGCTGTGAAATAACCTGCACAAAGAAAAGATATCCATGTATGTACTGAAATGTTTATTATTTTTGTGTCTTGATTTCTTTTAGGCCACAAAATGGATCTATGTTTCTTTTTGACAGAAGCAAGGTTTGTAGGGCATGCTTATTAGGAGAATTTGTTTACTAGCTGTCAGAAAAATTTGTTGGAAATGTTGATTTATAAAATGTGGAAATAATATGTCACAATTTTGAGCTTAGCAGACAGGCAAGATGGGTTCATCTTTCCCACCTGGTTTTCTAATCATGATACAAAATCCATCCCCTCAAATTTCCAGCCCTGAATCCAGCCATAGTAAAAAAAGTCATACAGTGTTGTACTGTACCTTACCCTGCGAGCAGAGGCCCTTCGATCTTCCTATCTAGGAAGATCGAAGGGCCTCTGCTCGCAGGGTAACTGTACCTGTGCTATTGAGGGGAAAGGCTTAGAAGTACACTGTAATTGAGTCATTCTTAAACAGACAAGGAAACACTCCAGCTTTTTACCCAAAACATGTTAAAATGCGTGAAAGCAGTGAATACAGATATAAGTGTTACATCTTCCGTTGATGGTCATGTAGTGGCGTGTAACTGCTATTGAAACACAAAACAGCTTTCATAAGGTCCTAAATGGGGTACTAATGAAGCGAAGACCATTAATTGAAGGGTCTTGTTATTTATCTGAGTGGTTTACAATGTATCTTCAGTTAACTTATATGGGTAGCTCTGTCCCCTTATCATTCTCCATGACCCCTATTAATTTTTTGGCAGAAAAGGGGGTCCAGGGTGTTCCCCAAGGAAAATCTCCTCATATCAACACTAGTTATGGGTAGTGTTTTGTGAAATGTGGTTATCTTATGGGACATGTCCAAGAAGGAGGGAGTGATGGTTAAAGTTCTTGATGCCACATTGTTAATCTGTGACCTTTCTGTCTCAGGTCAAACATTATCGCAAAGATGGCTACACGTGGAAGAAAAGAAGATCAGGAAACACAATCCGAGAAGATCACACACGACTGAAGGTTGAAGGAATTGAGGTAATAGTTAAATTACTGCCTCAGAAACATAGGAAGGCAGATACTAGTTGGATACCAACTGCTATATAAATGACATCTGCCATTAAAATGAACTACCAAAAAACTGCCTTGGAAGGAAAAGGCAAAAGTTTTTTAACTTCACAGGAAAGTAGTGGATTCGCCTTTTGTATCATATATAAAAATTATGCAGAACTAGAAGGTTGTCATCAATAATGTTGCACATGCGAAAAAATGTTTGGTGTCGGTGTTACCTGCAGAGTGAAATTTTTAGAGTTAGAGAGGTAATTTTGCTATGTTCTTTCAATATTCAGAGCTGAAGCTTCTGTTAGTCACTGAAAAAATAGAATATGGTGGTGTTCAAGAATAGATTATTTGAATTTCGAGGATTTGTTGAGACCTTTTTCTTTATTATTTTCTGTTGTTTTAGTGTTTGAGTGTACTATACACACATTCAGCTCTGGTGCCTACATTTCATCGCCGCTGCTATTGGCTGCTTCAGGTATTTCACTTGTTTAAAATTTTTAAGCCCTAATATCCGCTTACAAATTCTTCTGATCAATTTTCATGCATTTCCTTAGAGAATAAATTGAGAGAATTTAGTACTGCCAAAGACGATTCATTTAAATGGTAACAACATAGGATTTCATCATGGATTTAAAAGTAAGAGGGACAAATAAAAGACTAACTTTTGAGTCTCTGGATGAAATCCTATGGTGTTACCATTCAAATGAAACCTCTTCAGCAGTACTTTCACATGGTACTATTTATTTAGTATGTAGTTCTAACTTTTGAGTCTGTGGATGAAATCCTATGGTGTTCCCATTCAAATGAAACCTGTTGAGCTGAACTTTTACATGGTGCTATTTAATTTTAAGGATTTTACAATTGTGGAAATTTGGAACGTTTGTGAAATGGTTATTAATTAATATTGAAAATTGTGTATGTGTTGTAGAATCCTCAGATTGTGTTGGTGCATTACCTGAACCTAGTTGAAGAATGCAGCAAGCCCATTACAGTGTCAGTATACATGTCACCAGATAGTCATGATGATATTTCACAGCAGCTGAAAGCCATCTGTAAGTATGTGCTCTGAATATGATTCAGTCAATTCTGGTCAATTCATAATTCATTAGTATGGTTGTGGTACATGTGACCGATTGTGTGATTGTTCAAGTGCTTGTAAGAGATGGAAGTTGGATTGCCTCCTTTGTTTGTATGGAATGCAATAGGGAAAGGGTTCATGCTTTTTTTCATTTGTGCCCTCTAGCTTTTAGGAGAAAATAGTGGCACTGTGAACATACTCTGTGTCTTCTATCTTTCGTATTTGTGGGCGACAAGAGGAGCCCGCAATCCTAATCTCCACGTTGTTATTACGCATGCGTCGCATGTATGTAGGCAGCATTCGTTTGGACTTCCAATAAGAACGAATGGAATGTACAGAACGCACTTTGATCACGCGCGTTTGGAAATTCTATCACTCGTTATCTGATTACGCGTACGCAAAGCACAGCGCTGAAGAAAAAGCGTTTTGACCCTCGATCGTTGTCGCCCTTTGGTTATTACTAGTTTAATTGTAATTATCTGACAGTGTCTTCTTGTAAAACAAGACAGCACTGTTTTCATGTACAGGTTTTAGCGACTCCTCCTGCTGTTCCATTAATGTGTTGCTTCATTACTCCAAAAACTTTCATGGCCATTTTAGTTCGGAAATTAGCCGAGAGATTGAATGCTGTTCTAGCCACTCCTATAACGGCTGCTATTAAACTGAAAATTTAAGGATGATTATTTAGCCAGCTCGGGAAAAAGTGAGTAAAATTTGTTTATTTCCTTAGATTCGGGTGTTTCTCAGGATGTCAAGCCTGAAGTCACGGTAAGTATTTCCAATCCCAGAACCAGCCAATATGGCTGTTATCAAACAGTAATATTTTTTTATGCGAAAGGATATCCGGTTTATTGGCCAATGTGTAGTTCCAGAAAATATCCATACCCCCTGACGGAGGGCACTTTTGCTTTAGTCCCCCCACCCCCTTGAGGTTTCCATTCCATGGGGTGCTTGTCATACCCACTACCTCCTGGAATTTCCGTGATTTTCCATCTTGGTGGGAATCTCCTGGAAAAAGCAAACAAAACGTCGAGAAAATTAAAATACCTCATTGGTACTATATTTCGCGCTTTTCGTAGTTGTAAAGAAAATGTAAATACCTTATTGGAACTAAATTTCGCGGGTCTTTAATTTCACAATTTTTTTACAATTAAATTATTGCGAAAAGCGCGAAATTAAAGACCCGCGAAATTTAGTACCATTGAGGTGTAAAATTCCAAAAGTAAGCCCCGGGGCTTATATTTTTCAAAGGCCCTTTTTGAGGGGCATATTTTTGGAGGGGCTTCTATTCGGAGGGGCTTATCTACGGAGGGAAATTTGCGTCTCAGAATCGATTGGGCGAGCCTTATCGTTCAGTGGAAGTAAATTTACCGTTTTTGCTTTGTTTTACTTAGTATTTGAGGGCAATTTTACAAGTACGAGCCCACGGGGGGCTTATATTTGGAGGGGCGATTTAACGGAGGGTTTTTTGCGTTACCGGTTTGGGGGGCTTATATTTGGAGGGGCTTATACATGGAGGGGCTTATTTTCGGAATTTTACGGGGGAATTTTAATTTTCTTTACAATTGCGAAAAGCGTTAAATAGACCCGCAAAATTAAGTACCAGTAAGGTATTTTCATTTTCTCGACGTTTCGTTTGCTTGTCTTGACAGTAAAATTGCACAATGTTTATCTTTCGCAGGTTTCCGAGGAGAGCCCCCCTGCCTCACCATCTTCATCAGAGGAGGGCGACACTTTGTCTACCAAAGGCAAACAACAACAGAAACGAAACAAGGCCATCTACAAGATCTCCATTTCTCCAAATAAAAGCCTACAAGCCGTGCCACAAAATGATAAATTAAGCCTAAAGGTGATGAAAGTCACTAGAAATGAACAAGGACGCTTAACTGTGACGGGTCATAGGGAGGGGTCACCTTCCTTAGACGAAGACAATTCTTCATATGAAGGCAACGATTCTTGGAGAATAAACGAACGCGGTCAAAGCATGTGCCAGTCAGTAGTTACATCAGCAAGCACACGTGATAATCACGTGTTTGCCACCTGCGCGCAGAATTTCTTTAACCAGCAGTCTCCTAGAGACGTATCCATACTTTCTGCCGTTCCTATGGTAACGAATCCACCAGTGTCGGCTTTATCATGTCCGGTTCAGAATACGGTCAGCACTACAACTGTAACTACGGCATCAAATTCTCAGTTTTCTCAACAAAATCATGCGTCAAACGCGATTTCAATTAATCCGCTCTCGAGAGAGACGTCTTCTAACTCTGGAATTCAGTGGAATTCAGTCTTTGTTCACCCACGTGTGGCGGAGTTAAGTAGCAGTCCGTCTAGCGACTATGGCAGTTATATGTCTGATGCCGGCACCCGGCTTAGCTTCTCAGGATCCGACTCTTTGAGCGGTGGACTAAGTGCTCAGAGTTTCCCCGACTCCGACCAAGCTATGTTTGACGGCCCGTTTCGCTTACCTCTTCCGGTAACCCGAGATTGTCCGCTAAATTTCGCTGATTCAGCAAAAAGTGACCAGGGTTTGTCGCAAGGGATGTGTTGGCTGGGTGATTGCAGCCCCGGGGCATCCCAGTCTAGTGGCAATGATGTGCCAGTTGATACGACGGATTTTTCACCTCTTGAGTTGCTCGGTTTTGATGACATGTTTGATTGTAATCTGAGTAACGTGATACCGGAATGCCTTAACTCACCGCCGAAACAAAGCGAAAACGTTGCTGCAACGTCCGTCGGCGAGAATCTCCATCCTACTTATTCCACAGCTTCAAACACATCAACGCAATCGTCATCACTCACGCTCAATTCGTTCTCTGCAGAAAGTTTAGTCAGTCAACCACCAGGGTTCCACATCACCACTTCCGGTTTGACATCGACAACTTCGTACGTGTTCGTGAAACCTGTCAGTCCGGTAAGAAACACCGTCGTGACGTCATGTTTTGTCAGCGTTTCCAATAACACGCCCTCGTCATCATCCGGGGTATCGGTTAGTAGGGCTAGCACCCATTCTCTCGCCGGAGGCCAACGGGACAGCAATGAAGTTACTGTGCCCGACATATGTATGACTCCGGTGGTTTCACAGCCTACATCAAACCAAGTTGCTCATGGCTCATCTGCCAAGACAAACTCAAACCATCAGTCCTTATCAAGTGACATAAACAACAACACTTCACGGCCGATTGATGCTGGAGAAACTACGACTTTCACTTCCTCTCCGCATCCAAGAAATCATGTCGTACCAGGCTCTGCGCGCATTACGGATTTTTCACCCGAGTGGTGTTATCCCGAGGGAGGAGCTAAAGTGCTCATTACTGGTGAATGGAGGACCGAGCAGGGCGTCTACACGTGTTTATTTGACGGTTGTAGCGTGCCTGCGATCTTGTACCAAGCAGGCGTGTTGAGATGCTTTTGTCCGTCACATGACCCAGGCCTAGTCACTCTTCAGGTGGCTTGTAATGGGTTTATCGTTAGCAACGCATGCGTGTTTGAATACCGTGCACGTGATTCGCCGGCGGGCAGCTCCGGCTGTCACGAGTGGCTTACCACTGATAACGACCGGTTTAAACTTGCTTTACTGGATCGCTTGGAGAGACTGGAGTCTAGACTCAATGCAAGCCAGACAAACAATTCCGAAAATCAATCTCAAGGAAATCAGTGCATGACATTCGAAGATCGCCTCATCGCTGCTTGCGAGATTTTTCATCGCTCCCATTGCCCCATTAGAAATCTAACAAAGATCGAGAAGCCATTTCGAGGCATGACACTGCTTCATTTGTCCGCTGCCCTTGGTTATAACAGACTCGTTTGTACGCTTCTCAAGTTTTGGCGTGAAAGCCAAAGCGCGCTAGTCAGAGACGAATTAAACCCTCTCAGAAAGGACGAGTTTGCGTGTACGCCTCTAACATGGGCATGCGCACTGGGATGGACAGACGCGGCACTCATGTTGTTAGAGACAGAGCCCAAGGCGTTACTGGAGCCTGATGCTCGCGGGCGTATGCCACTGCAGCTGGCAAGAGATCGAGGTTTCCTGGATGTAGTGGACATTATTGAGGATTCTGTCACATCTTTTCCAAACAGGTGGGTTTATTAAAAAAAACATCAGCGAGGGACACAAGTGAGGGTATCACAAAGTTAGCTATCACAAAGAACAACAATAGTTTATTCAATACGAAAATATTTTACAGTTATGGTACCCACAATTAGCGGAGCCATTCTATGTGGGAAACAATACAGTAATAGTCTCCTACAAATAAATACAACGTCCAAAAGCCGGGGAAAAAGAAAGTGAATTCAGAGAAAGTAAAAAAATGTAGCACAAACGGAAAGAATAGTAGTAAATGGTAAAACTAAAACAAGTACGATAGTAAAAGAAAACTATGGATAGAAGGAAAGAAAACACATAAGCTGAATAAGGAGTTCACGTAGGAACTGGTAATGGCACTCATATCAACATACACCTTCTCAGCATCCAAGACCTTGAGCAGTAACTTATGTAGTCTTACGCTTGAAAGGGTCTTTTCCACTGTTCTTGTGACTTAAGAGGGATTTTGTTCCAAATTCTTACACCACTTCTAGAAAAAGATAACAATGGTTGTTTGAGTCTATATTTACGGACATGAGAATTACACGTAGTTGACTTAAACTGCGTCGGTCAAGGGAATTTTTAGGGATATCGTGAAGCTCATAGAACAAGTTGTTTAATAAGCTTTTTTTTCCCTCAAAGTTGGTAGTGAAACTTGGCTTCGTATGCACTTCAAATTACTGTTGTTAATATTTCGAATTTTCCACAGGAACATTTTTCTCGGTGTGGGCCATGATTCAGACGTCACCTCATCACCAATGGCCTCATCTTGCGAGAGCTCTCCTCAATCTTCCGCCTTGGCCCCTCAATCTCGTATCCTTTTGGCACCTCCTGTGGACACCACCATGGAGGAGCGAGCGGGCTCACCGATGTTTGTTGATGAAGATGAGATGGAACCACAGTTTTCAAAAAAGCCAGGAAACACTTTGGCAAAAACTTTAGTACATATTCACTCCATGATTAGCGAAGCCGAACAAGAAGCCGAACTCGGTCATCGTATACCCGGGCATTTATCACCACTTCACGAAAATACCGAACTTGTTACTGGTTCTTGGAGCTCCGCTATGAGACTGCGCACTTTCAGTTCGGCTTCTTCCCAGTCCTCTCCTCTGACGCCTTGCTCTTCCAAATCTTCACTCTCTCCAGGCTCTCCCGGCTTTCTAAACTCTCCCCATTCTTCACCCGTCGGACCGGACACAACAGAATTCCAGGAGTTCATTTACAGCTCTCGTAAACTTCTGGAAAGGGATTTGTCTGATCTCACGCTAACAGATCGTGAGCAATGGGAACTATATGAAGCTGCAAAGATAATTCAAAACGCTTACAGGAACTACAAGGTAAACTCAGTTTCCCCCCCCCCCCCCCCCCCCCCCCCCCCCCCCCCCCACCCCCCCCCCCCCCCCCCCTTTTTTTTCTTCTCACCGCCGTGTGCCCACTCAAGCGGTGCACTCACAACAACAGAGAGTGTGGGGTGGGGGGGTGTGACGATGGACTGTTTGCAACCAACCCAGCTCCACCCCTCCTTCCCCCCGGCGGCCGGACCCAACGCATTTCCATGGGTTTATTTTCTGCTCCCGGAAACTTTTGGAAAGGGTTTTTTTTTATTCCCCCGTAACAATCTGGGGGCAAGGGGAACCTTTTGAAGGTGCAAAAAAAATTCAAAAATCTTTCAAGAACTACAATGAAAACCCCGTTTCCCCCCCCCCCCCCCCCCCCTCCCACTCATCACCACAACCCCTTCGCTCGCTGATGTTTTTGCCACTGCAGAGCCTGGTCCCAGGCTAAAGTGTCACTCCAAAGCATGAGGGAATGAGGGTCGGGAGGTTTAGGACTAGGTATCTCTAGCAACACCTCCTTCCCTACCCCCTCGCGCACCGCAACAACTACAACAAATGTCTTACTGGCCTCTCTTTTTGTAAATTCTTGTTCTTTGTAGACAAGACGTCATCAACAGGAACAAGAAATAGAGGCGGCTATCTTGATTCAACATCATTATCGAAGATATAAAGAGGTAATCGTCCTTCCAAAGCTCTGTTCACCCTTTACTGGCCCAAAACCTGAACAAGTTTGAATTGCACGGCTATTGCCTGGATATACTAGAGAGCTTTACATTCTGAGAGGAGGACGACTACGAGTACGAGATTTTCTCAGTATTAAGTAGTGCACGCGCGTGAACCATCGTCATTTTGGCGGGAAAACGTGAGAGCTGTCGTTATTAACGTAGCGGGAAGCTATGGGTATGCAAAACCATAGATTTCCTCCAACCTAAAAGAAAACGTTTGTACATAGTATACCCAGGAACCCACTTCTTGTCTCGACCCTGTACTCTGGCACCCATGTCTTGCCTCAATTCTCGAGTGGGTACTTGAAGAAAGGGTGGGCGCCGTGTCCTGGCAGCAAGTGTGAACTCTACCTAAGTAGTACATGTTTTTGTTTTTGTTTTTTTTTTTCAGTATATCGCGTTCAAAAAGATGACACGAGCAGCCCTAATCATCCAAAACCAATATCGCACTCACCGTGAGCACGAGAGGTTCAAGAAAAGCAGACGAGCGGCAGCCATCATTCAAAACACATTCAGAAGTTACCGGGAACGACGTCGGTCCACGCAGAGGCGGAGGGAACAGAGACTCAGCAAGCGACAGGAGGCGCGATACATACAAAAGGCATCCAACAGGTATTTATACCGCTTTGTCCAAGGTCGTATTTATACGTCCTCTCCTTTCAATAGTTTTATTTCTTTCGGCTGCTCAGTGTTTTCGTCCCTGGTTGTTTGAAAGGGTCTGAGAAGGAATAATGTCAAACGCTGACCTGAAAGTTTTTCAAGGAAGTTATCGAAAGTTACATCACAAGTTGATGTTGTGTTGTGACGTATTGAAAGAAGCTGTCATCCCAAACTAACTATGATGGCGCTTTTTTAAAATTGGTGCATCTGTACTAGGGTAGGGTCTTTGCAGTTAACCCAGATTACCCGGGCAAAAAAAAGATTACCCGGGCGTGGGGAGTCGCGAGTCGTCACGCGAGAGCAACACGCAAAAGGGAACGTGAGTCTCGCTCGCTTGTTCTCTTAAGGCTCGCTTTTCTCGCCATACATGGAGAGCTTCCTAGCAGGCTAACCTGCGCTTCTAGCAATTCGTTCCTAACGATTGTAAAATCATTGCATTTTGTCAAGGTTTTCGTAAATTACGTAACTGTGTGCATAATACGTAACCATATTAAAGTAGCTTACTTGCATTTAAATGTCATTATTTTGTAGATCGAAGGACAACTCCTAATACCTAGAGGAATCACGTTCGTTCACAAACAAACGAATACATTACTTCATTCATAATGGGCTTTGCAGCCACAAGTCACGAATGTAACACAGAGAAGAAGTAACTTATTTTACACGTCGTGTTCGACGACAATTACCTTATAAATATCTTTAAAGTTGATAATTTATTAAATTAATTTATAATAGAAGTATAGCAAGTATAATCATGCAGTTGCTCCCCTAATTCCTGCATGGATTTGTTAATATAATTAAAAAACAATCAAGGGAAGAAAAGTTGAACTGGCAACTCCAAGTCATTATAATTTCCATGCACTGAACTGAACTGAACAGTATGTCGGTAGACTGCAAAATAGCTGTATTTTTGCGCTAATCATAAAACCTGCATGATATTGAAAAGAGAAATTCTCGCACGACCTCGCCTGTCCAGACTACGAACAGTCTCTTTTTTTTTTTGTTAGTTCGTCAAACGTAACGCCCGACACACCAAAATTGCCAGGCGCGTGACTGGATGCACCAAGTACCTCAAGTCTCGTAGCTTCGCCGTTCACCGCTTGCGCGCGCGCGTGCACTAACTTCACTAAATCTGAAGAAAAAGAGACTCTTCGCAGTCTATCGCATGCCCTTCCCTTTCAGGCATCACGTGACAGGTGACAGCCATTAGCAAAGTGCGATCCGTTAAAAGAGAACTTACAATGCTTTGCAGTTGTGACTTAAATGTCGCATAAAGTATATCTACCCATGCGTTCCTGTGAAAATTCCCTACACCTCTTGGCCCAGTGTCTTGTCTGTGTTAGTTGTATATAGTATTTTAATAATCCCCAGTGCATTCAGAAATTATTTGTGAATACAAGAACTGATGCCAACATATCACATATCAGAGTCTTTTTGCCTGTAGGAATTTCCTCAGTTAGTCTCAACCTAGTTTCCCCAGGCTTTCTCTCTTGTCCCGTTGTCCGCGCGAAGGTTTATGGAAAGAGAGAGCGAGAAGAGTCTTTTTCGGCGTTAACTTTTAATGAGGTACGGAAGGGTCCGTTTTTAGCGGAGCTGAGAAGGCCTGGACTAGGATGGTGATGTATAGCTACATGCCCGTGTGATAGGAAGACGTGGGGTACTCCCTATAATAGTATATGCGGGGAGACTCCGCCCGAAAGAGGTACCTTTTTCAGGTTTCTGGTACATAAAAGGGTGGGGATTTCACTAGTTGAAATATATGAAAGGTCAGCGAAATCTGTTTTTTCGGTCTGTAAGACGACCAAAACGCCTAACAAATGCATTTTATGTCTGTGAAAAGGTGGATAAAATGTTCTGATTGTGTTATTTATTCATGTTTTAAAGAGACTGCATTAACAGCAGTTAAAGGGGATGCATAGTTCCAAACTAGGTATGTGAAAGGGATGCCATTTGTCAAGAGAAGGTATACAAAAGGGGTACCTATTTCGTCAGAATTGGTATTTAGAAACGTAAGGGTTTGGACCTCGGGGCGGAGCCTCTCTGTATAAAACTTTGTTGAGTACCCACGGGGTAGGAAACTAAACTTTGTCAGAATGAGGTTAGGTGTATCATGTGTAGAACAAATTTTTTAAATTTACCATTTATTTAGAGATCCCGTTACTGGAATCGCTATTGTCGGTCACAATTTTCAGTGACCAGTACACTGTTTCTGTTTTGCTCGATGAAAGTGCAACTGTCATCTCTTTTAAATGAATATGGATGATATTACGTCCGCCGTGCTTGGCTATCATTAGCTACGTTTTTCTGAGGCCAAATTTTCTGAGAGTTTTCCTATTTCATCTTATGTTTTGTTCAAAGTCCCGCAGAAGATACTCATCATGCTAAGATGATGGTATTAAGCATCATGTTTGTAACAAACAGCAATCGGCAGATCAGATGGCAGTAGACCATAATACCATTGCTTATGTATACCAGAACAATAAGCAAATCAGTAATGCATTTTTTTCAAGAACTTGTTTGTACTTTGTACGTTTTCTTGGCATTGCAAACTACAAACTGCAGACGTATTAAATGGAGGGGTACGTAAACGTGATGTTTAATTAAACGCTCATGTCGCGCAACAACAGAAACACGTTAGGGACCTCAAGCAAAGACGTTTTTGAGCAACTCACATCAACCGGAAGTGGACTTTTCGTCAGCGGCATGGCATGTTAAGAGAAAAAGCGTTCACTTTCGGTTTACGTACGTCGCTCAAAAACGCCTTTCCTTAAGCTCCCTATTATCAGTTCTATTTATTATTATAATAATATTATCACTACATTGAAACCTTTTTGTATTATTTAATTGCCTGCTAGGACATTCCTTGCAGTGAGTGAATACTGTAACCAACCCATTCGATAAGAGCGGAGTCGGTTATAAATAAACCAATACAGTACCATGTTGGTTTTGTTTTTGGAGTCTGGGAGTCTTACATTGAGGGGTCTTACGTCCAGGAGTCTTACATCCAGGGGGTCTACGACCATGGGTCTTACGTTCAGGGGTTTTACATCCAAGGTTCTTAAATTCAGGGGGCCTAAGTCCAGGGGTCCTACAAAAAGGGGTTTTAAATCCAGGGGTCTTACATCCAGGCGCCTTACGTGCATGGGTGTTACTTCCAACAGTCCTACATCCAGGATTTCTTTCAACTAAGGATTCTTTCAACCAGGGGTTTTTACAACCAATAGTTCTTACAACTAAGGGTTCTTGCAAACAGGGATTCTTACAACCAAGGATTCTTTCAACCACGCGGGGCTTCTTACAACCAGGGGTTCTTACATCAGGGGGCTGTTATAAGCAGGGGTTCCTTCAACCAATGGTTCCCACAACGAGGGGTTCTTTCAATCAGGGCGTCTTACAACCAGGGTTTCTAACAAGCAGGGGTTCTTTCAACCAGTCTTTACACCCAGGGGCTCTTACAAACAGGGGTTGTTACGTTAAGGGTTCTCACATCTAGGGATTTGCTAGACTGCAAAACAGTCGAGTTTTTTCTCAAAATCGGTAAAGCGTCGCGAAGGAGTCTCACACGGCCGTTGCTACTTTAAGGGGTTCTTACGGTCAGAGATCCTTGCGCCCAGAGGTTCTTTTGTCTAGGAGTTTTTATGGCCTGGGGTTCTTACGTTCCGTGTTTTTACGTTCGCGTGTTTTTTGAGCATGGAAACAACATCCTATGTTTAATGAGTTAGTCTTTCAGAATTCTGGTGAGCCTTCCAGTTTCTCTCAGTGAAGTTCCATGCTCAGTTGTTCTTTAGATGTTTACCTCTTTACAGAAACCTTTCATATTCTGTAAACGGGCATTTTTTGCTAAATTTTAGTTGAAGTAGATGTTTTTTGATATTTATAATCCGGAATCCACGGCGTGGAATCCAGAGTCCAAGACTGTCCTAGATTCCCTTCCATGGGGTCGCGGCTTCTTGGGATACTTGCTTCTATATAAAACACTCAGAAAACTATTCCACGGAATTAGTTCTCTTTCTTGCGAATAACCGTTACATTCCTCCGTTCTTCTAATGAAGCGCTGGAGTGGCTATCCGTCGGCTTGGAGTAAACTTCAGTATGGATGTAACAACGATGGACTAAATGAAGCATGCCTTCTAAAACCCAAAGCTTGTTCCTGACTAAAATGACTTCGAATTTATTAGTGGGATACAATGAACACTACATAGCATTTTTGGAACGGGAAATAGCTCTTACGGGCGAACAGAAAGGCTGCGGGTAATCGACCAACAATATTGAAATTAATTTTGTTCTCGAATAAGATCCCAAATTGCTAATTGTCCGTAACCAGTTCTTGCGCGTTGAATTTAGGTTGCGTTCTCCTGTCGTCTAGCGCAATTATTGACAACGGCGTTGCAAAATTGGCACTTTCTTTAGCTAAACGAATAATGGTATTTTGATTTTGCTGCTATACTTGGAGGTTAATTTCTAGTCATAGAAGCGGTATGGATTCTCGTGAGTAAGAGTGACGACTTCACATTCTATTCAGCCTAAAATCCCACAGGTCATTATTATCGTTCATTGTCCTTTGGCTTTTTGTCGTTTTTTATTTGTGAGAAATTTCATAGGTCAGTATTGCTCATGTTAAGTTGTTTTTACTTTTTCGAATCTCATTCGAATCTTTTTTTCGCTTTTCTGGCCACGAACTTATCGAAAATCATCTTTCTCAACTATAAAATAAATAATTAAATGAAAATAAAATCGGTTGATTTGCAGCTATGGATCCTTTGGAGAGAAACGATTAAAACTTAAAAAGGATCTTTAAAAGATGTAATCTCTTTGTTTTTCTTGCCACACTGCTTCATTTGCCATCCAGCAAGGTGTTTTCTTGGTCCCATGTGACCGTTTTCTGCAAAGAGCTCATTGTGGTTACATGCGTCCAATTTTATAGTTTTTTTTTTTACTACCAGTGGAGTTGTAAGAGGAGTTAAACGAACCTTTCAATAGTCCAGTTTCGAATTAAAAATTGCCGCTGAATATAAACATTAACGACACATTCATACAGGATTAGCCTCGACCTAAAGTAAAATATTCAGAAATTCTGGCAAGTAAGTGTTTGAAATTTGAATATACAAAATAGACAGAGTAATAAACAGGTCTTTTTCTCGTTGGAATTTGTGAATATATTACTTCAGATTGAGGCTAAGGCTGTAAAAAATGCGTCTTCACTTCTTTAATTCAGCGGTCATAGCGAACTCGAAAATGGACTATTTGCCTTTGGGAAATAAATTCAATTTTCATGAATATATTGTTACATCATAAGTACGTGCACTGGTGTTATTACTTGTGTCCAATCTCCTCTCGTTCAAAATATAAGTATAATTGACAACGCTGTATTCTCATTTCTCTTTAGCTTTTGTCGGTGAGGTTCGCAGGTACGTAAATTCTAATGATGGATGGTGGTCAGTTTTATACATAGACAATTTGGTAATACTTATCCGACGTTTAGTTAAAAAGTCCATTTCCTATTGTTTTCAATGAATAGTCCAAGGTTTATTTATATTACAGTTTGTAAAGTATATTGCCGGATTTTCAAAACTCTTACCGCTAAAGAGCGTGTTGCACCTTTATTTCCGATTTATTATTGACTAAAACTTGAATATGTCTGAAATTGACGAATAATAGTAATTTGATGTCAATGCCAGTCTTGGGGTTAATTTCTACGCACTTAATTTGAGTTGACCTGAAGACTTTGAAGAGGTTTAATTGTATACATTGACGGGCGATACTTCGAGTTTTACTGAACCTTAACGTTTGCTGAAAGGTTTCATTTCTTTTTCTTTTAGGTGTCTTTTCAAGTTCTCAGTTTTAACGTTTTAGGTACGTCATGAGTTTTGCTGTCTCCCATTGCACCTCCATTGATAGATTTATCATTATTCAACTTGAAGAGGTTTGAAAAAATAGTTGTACAATGTATTGTGATTATGTTGCTGAACTCGGATTAATTTTAACTAATAGAAGCGATATGAGTTATTTTGGTAAGAGTGACAACTTCGATTCTATCAGTCTCAAATCCCAGAGGCCGTAATTTTCATTCATTGCTCTTTGGCGTTTTAATACTACAAATACGGAATTCAACATTAAATTATTTGTGAAAGGTTTGAACCCAGGAGTCATTTCAAAAGTAGGTTGAGTTCGGATCGTCCGGGTGAACGTAGTCCTGAATAGGACTGTTGTTGTTGACAGTGACTGATGGCCTAATCGCTGTGTTACAGTTTCTTTAGGTTTGGCTAAGGACTGGTTTGCTAATAATAGTCCTCGCTACTTTAGAGGTTCTTTACGCAATTGCATAAATTGCGTCCACTGCGACGATCATTTCTTCATTTTCATTTCATTTCCGCAGTTCATATATGATTTATTTCATATATCATCAACACTCATTTCTTTCATGGGAACATATGAACCCACAATTGACCTGCTCCCAACGTCAGTGGCTTCATAGCTCAGTTGGTAGAGCATCGCACCGGTATAGCGAGGTCACGGGTTCAAACCCCGTTGAAGTCCTAAATTTTTTTTTTCAGGCTTCTTTACGCAATTGCGTAAATTGCGTTCACTGCGACGATCACTTCTTCGTTTTCATTTCATTTCCGCAGTTCATATATGATTTATTTCATATATCATTAACGCCACAGGATAAGTTTAGGTTGAGTATATCACTCGCTTCATAGGTTAAATTAAATAAAGCATTGTTCATGTTACATTGACTCGCTTGTTTTGCTTTCAACTGATTTCAACGGGACCTTTGTTTACAATTGAACATCAACATTCGATGTGGAAGGAACTCGGCAAACACGCTGTCTATAGAATTTGTAGCCAAGAGCTTCTTTCCTATCTCTCCAGAGATTAAAGAAACGGATTCACGGAGACGAATGTACACCTTTTGCTCTTCATTACGAGAAAATACGCATTCATTTGCGTGAAAAGGCGACCAGCAGCGCGAAGATACATTCATTAGCGCGAAAAAGCGAACATTTGCGCGTAAATCAGATTCAATAACGATTTTTGCATTTTAATCAACATTCAATAACATTTTTGGGCATTCATTTGCGTCATTCGACATACAAAAGAGAAAAATATGTTTTCATTAACGCCAACATGCGAGTCATTAACATTACCTTGAAAATCATTAGGGACAATAGACAAACATTTAAGTGCAAACGCTATTCATTAACATTTTTATGACATTCTTTGCAATTCAATAGCGTTCCTGGACAGCTTTAGAATGGGTAAGACAAACATTAATGCGCATGTACAATCAATTGAGCGTTCTTTACATTTAATACACAAAAATCTATTTTCAATTAAACAATACCAATTCCCCCCAAAATTGGCCTGAATTTGTTTAAAGAATCACGCCGTACTTCGCTACTGCTTGTTCGTCGACGGCTGCGGGTATACATTTTCCTTAGACGGCCAGAAGTCATGGTTGGGCGCGACAGGGAATGAAGGGCGTAGCGCTAAGTGTGCGGCCAAAGAGGACGAAACTTGACTATGACCATGGCAATATCATCTATCAAATGTTTTCCTCGGCAGCTGCTGGAGTAAAGAATACTGTGTCGGTTTTTGTTCTGGCACGGGCGAGGAAATAATGGTCCCGATAAATCGGTGGTCTTTGCGTATGACGGGGTGCCAGCCCACCTAGATTTAGCCATTCCCGTTCCACATACACAGCTTATGCTTTCCCCCTCGATATCGTTGAAAAGGATTTAAGTTGTCTGAAAGCGACACCAAAGGCGGACATCTCGAGTCCGGAAATTTAAAGATGTATAACAGGAATGAGGGCAAAGTCCTAGCAATCCCGCTAGCGGAGTTCGGAAACAACAACTTCCGGTGCTTGAAGCTCTGCGCAGAAACATGACATTGTGACCGCAGCTAAATGTGCTAAGGGGTACCATTTTAACAAACCTACCTCCCAAAATGTTTGAATAGCGAGGTTTTTGAGGGAT